TGCCAGGACGTGCTACAGCTAGCTGCTGCTGTTTCTTTCTTATAAAAGGCTAAATAAAACAAAATATTGGTGGTAATTTTTGACTGTGTAACTTTACAAACGGCACCCCATAGGAAATTACAAATATTTGACAGTTTTTTATTTAATTAAAACATTATTTTCTTGATTTGGAATGGTGCTCTGTCCAACTATAATGTGCAAAATGAAATCAAACCTCTGATGTTGYCGCAGAGAACAGTGTCCTGAATCCGGTTTCAACCTGTTTCTTAGTTGAGGGAATGATGGCAAACAAATGATGGAGAAGCCGAATCTTTTATCACAGCTGCCTAAACGTTGTCGCTAACAAAGGTAGGATGGAGTCATGGAGGGGGATGTGTGCGTAAATTGAAATCTGCTCATGTGGAAAATTGAAGCCCCCCTCCTCTAATTCTGGAGGCAGAGAAACACCCTGCYACTGTCTGGGTTCGGGTAGAACTAACTCCCCCCTCTCCTTCGTTTGTTTCTTTCTGCTTCATATGAATCTCTCTGCTCCTGGTCTCGGTTCTGTCGCAGACTGCAGCGACGCCTGGGGGGGGGGTTAGACTGAGGAGCCTGGCTGAGATTATCGATAATCCAGCAGCAGATTTGACAGTAAATCAGCTCATCCCTGAAGGTGCTCAGGGACTGAAGAGAAAATGGTCTTTTCCTCTTCACTCWCTCTTTGTGCTTTTCCCTTACGTTTTTTTGTTTCGCTTGTTCTTCTCCTGCATCCAATGTTGATATATTGAATTTTCAAACCTTTCATGAAACCCACTGTAACCGAGCACAAAAATATTCTGCCTTTTTTTTTTAAATCGGAGGAAGAAAGGTTGAGCAAAAAGCTTGAATTCTCAGGTCAAATATCAGAAACAAACGTTAAATCCTGCAGGTTTGAGCAGTGGGTTTTCATTTCCAGAGGTTAAAACTGAATTGAATAAAATCCCTAGCTTTCCTTGAATGAATGCATATTGCCCAGAGTTCTTAGAATGGCATTAAAGCTATTTTGGTCAAACCTTGGAAATGATGTTTTGCACAATCTTATGTGATGCTGAGACAGCTTGCAAGATGTGATAACATCCATGTGTGTGTTTGCTGAATGTGCTCCTCTGTGGCAACCATTTCAAACTGAGCTTAAAGATGAACACAAATGTGCGTGCACAAACACACACACGAGCTAAAACAAAACAAGTCTCGGACACTATTGCTAAACATTTGAACAGTCTTGTATAAAGTACCTCAAAGTGATACTTGAGTAAAAGTACAAGTTTCTTTTCACAAAAAATGACTTTGGTAAAAATTCAAATCTCCTCTAAGAATATTACTTCAATAAAAGCCTTAAAGTACTTATCAAATGTAAAATTTCTGACATAAAATGTACTAAAGTACTAAAGGTAGTGCAACTGTGTTTGTTGCATGACCGGTTTCACCTGTTCCCCCATGTTTGTCTTGTACGTCTTCTTGAATGGGTGTTTCTAAACTGCCCCCTCCCCCTTTCCCTGAATGTACAGCTCCTTGTGAATTTATTTCTGTGAAAGGCGCTATATAAATAAAACTTTACTTACTTTACTTACTGAAGTAGTGAGCAGTTAAATTTGCAAAATGACATTAATTGGGAGGTGATCTCTCTAAAAAACATTTTTCTAAAGGCTGAAATGACTGTAATATACTAAAATGTTTCATATTTACACAGTAGAGTGTAGTACAAACATCTTCATACTAGGCTACATATATGTCTGCTATGTCCTGCTGGAGTCGAACAGGATTTGTGTCCTGTGCAACCAATAGGGTGTCAGAATTATATATTTTTTCCCTTTTCATACAATTAAATTCATTCTGTTCAGGAGGCACAATTTATCTGGATTGTTTTTTAACAATAACAGGCTGCAAAGAGTCACAACTTTCTACTTCTTATCTTTTTTTAAAAATGTAAGGAGTACAAAGTACAGAAAATTGAAAAGAAGTAGAACTAAAAAAGGCTGAAAATAATTAGTCAAGTAAAGTACAGATAACCAAAATATCTACTTAAGTACAGTAAAGYTATTTGTACTTATAGGTGATTAAAATGCAGAGTTGTAAAGTAACTGCTGTCAAAGATAATAAAGGTTTTGCCGGTGTTTTTTCGTCAACGTGATTCAAGATGGCCGCCACAGCTAAGCAACCTTAGCAGACAAGAAAACATTTAGAACGGAGACACTTTTACAGACATTAAGGTAAAATCTGGTGCGGCAGTAATCAAGAGTCATTCTCAAGATCTTATTTTGCGTGACATAATGCAAGTGACTAAAACGGCTTTAACTTGAGTGATATATAGTTTAATCCTATAAATCTATGGCTTTAATTAAAATTTTAGAATATAAGAAAGATGGAAAGATTCACTGACCCTTAGAGTAAAAGATAAACTCAAATTGTCTTCCACAATTTAGATGGACAGATGACTTTAATCATCCCCAGAGAGAAATGTGATTGCCACAGTAGCCAGATAAATTGACAGCATAAAATACTGAAGGTGAATGAAAGTGCAGTGCATAATTATAAAATGTCTAATTAAATTTAGGCAAAAAAGAGAGAGAGAGAGAAAAAAGGATTTTAGCTTAAAAAAATTGCAGCATCATTGCAAACTGTGTCTCCTCAGTG